CCAGCGGTACTGTGGGTTGAAATTTATATATATATATATATTTTTTTATTAAAACAATTTTTATCCATTTGGCGGCTCCGTATCAAAACCACTATACATCGTTTTTTTGTTAAATGCCAACATTCAGAGCGTCGGGATTCGATACAATAATTTAAAATATTGTTGTTGGACAGCTCGTAATACGGCCGTTTAGAAAAACCCCATGATTTTTGAAATGATAAAATCCACTATATAAAAGAAAACGTAGTATCGACAAATAAACATGAATTTAATATAACGACAAGAATACAATATGTGTAGCCGGCCACGCGTATTCGAGGATTTCCCCTCTGCTAGGGCGGCTAGCCAATCCCTATTATGATGACGTGTGACGCCGTGCTAGCACAGCTATCGACGGCATCGAATTTCACTCACAACCAGTAGTATGGTTTTCAGGTATGGTTTTTCAGACCGATGACACCAGGAAGTCTCCTTAACTGACAAATCATAGGGAGATTCGATCCCGGGTCTCATGGTCAGAATGCGAACATTCTAATCACTCGGCCACGTGCCCATAGAATAGAATATAAATTATATATGTGTACGTATGTGAGAAACAGTGAAATGTTGTTATATGTGTATTTGTGCAAAAGAGTCAGTATGTGTGTGCGTGCCTAGTAGTAACGGTAGTACAAGAGTTAGAATTTAGTTCTTACTGTGTAGCCGTAGTTTGGAGCGGTCTCTTTGTAGTTTGTCAGCGTGGTGGATTTTGCATGTAGACGTGAATGGGGTCTTGAAGATAAGCAGCTAGAGTGACGTGGACCTTGGTGACATCTGTGCATCTCATGTTTGTGGTCGGACTTCGTAAGTTTTATACACTTTTTCGTAAGAACATCTGCTCCAGAATTATATTATCTATTTCTTCCTAACTGGCCATAAAAATCCACGTGGTATGTCTTCTACTACTTCCACACGATATTTTGGTAGTATCTATCTAAATTGTGATGAAATATTTTATTAAATATTTTAGTGGAAACGACAAACATGATTGTACTATTCCACTCAGTTAGATAGGTAGTGTTGATAGCAGACATAGAAAGTAACACTACAACAACTCGTACAAATGGTAGTAAAAGAAAGCAAGAAGAAAGGACTGAACATCAACTATAAGCAATCAGTTGCCAGGAAAAGAAACAGCCCAACATGCAAATTGCAAATTGGAGATACCAAAATTAAACATCTAGGAAATGTTTTAATCGGGGATGAGAAAATGTGACACCGAAATCCGAAGGCGCATTAGGATAGCGGAAGATGCCTTTCAAAAGCTAAACAAAATATAGAGAAAATAGAAGATTTTCGTCTGAAACAAAGAAAAGAGTGCAGAACCGCTACGTAATATCAATCCTTCTAATCCTGGCAGTGAATGCTGGACAATTCCCTCAGATATAGTGAATAACAAAGGCAACAAATATGTGGTCTACAGAAGGATGCTGAGAATAACATGGACAGAATATGTGAGCAACGAGGAGGTTCCAAGGAAAATGGAAATAAAAAGGGCACTTATACATAGTTAGAACCAGAAAAAATAGTTAAAATTATTTGTGACAAAAAAAAAAAATTAGTGTGAGGAAAGAATGTCTGAAAACTTTGGTTTAGTTTATTTTTTTACGGCATCTTCGACACCTCATTAGGTTATTTGATGCTAACAAGATTTTGAAGATAGGTTCGTATGAATAGAATATGTATCGTGTGTAAGAAATCATTTTTTAAATCAGGTTTCATTGAAGTATTTTTGTAAAGAGGAGGGCAAAAACTGTCGAGAGTGAAATGTATTGGTGGATTTTTTTCAAAAATGTATTTCTGGTATTTTTTATTATAAAAATCTATTTTTATACTTTCATAGTGTTCTGACTCTAGTTTGGGGTTAACTATTAGCCCATAGCTGGGGCCCTAACAGGTGGACCTGGGAAGAAGAGCACCGAAGAGGTGCTTGCACGTTCCTCAAAACATCAGAGGCCTTGCTGCCGGATGTGGTTTATCCTCATACCCAGGACACCTGTAAATGTTGACAAGTTAACTAATGTATCTAGAAATAGGAAAATAGGAGATTATTGAACTGTTACGCAATATCAGTACTCCTACGTGGCAGTGAATGTCGGACAATCTCCCACAGATGGAGAAGAAACTTGAAGCAACAGAAATGTGGTTCGACAAAAGGATGCTGAGATTACCATGGACTGGATACGTGAGCAGCGTCGATGTCTTAGAGAAAATGGACACTTATACGTACGTAGCGGCGGAAAGAGGCCGCTTAAATTTCAAAGGTACATAATGAGGAAAGAGGGCTTAGAAAATTTAACACTCACATGATATACTGAAAGCAAGAGAGACAGAGAAAAGCATCGCATAACGTAATTAACGAACTTGTGTAAATGGTTGGTAGAACAGGTTTTAAGAGAGATAGCAAAAAGACAAACTGTACTAAGAGCTACAAAGGACAGGAAGTAGTGGAGAGCCATGATCTCATGATGTCTTGAAGGGTCGCAGCACATAGGAAAAGATAATGAATTTTGTCAATTTAAAAGTAAAAATAAATAAACATCCGATATAGGAATAAAATAATTTTCTAAGCCCGGCTTAGATGTGGCATAAGGACAAGAGTATGGGGGCACCCAGTGAGGCTCGAACTCACTACTCAGTCGTAATTAATCTAGCAAGACAAGCTTTCTAACCATTAACACTACGTCGAGGGGACGTTAAAGATAGGAATATATCAGTAAATCGTTCATGTAAAATAAATACTTTGTATATAGATAACTTCTTTCTGGATGTCACACAGGTCTGACTATAGTGATTTTCCAAGTGTAGCTTGGATGTGGCACAAGGCACAAGGCCGAAAGTAAGGGGCGCCCAGTGAGGATTGAACTCACTATACAGCCGTAATCGTTCTAGCGAGGCAAACTGGCTAACCATTACATCACCTCGAGGTGCCCCACAGCGCCCACTGAGTATATATGGAAAAGACATTCTTTCGGCCTTGTGCCACATCTAAACCGGGCTTAGAAAATCACTATATGGAAAAGACATTACCTCAGTAGGATTTTATCTTTGAGGTTTCTAACTGAATTTACTATTTTGGGGAGATATAAAAAAACTATATATTAATTGATTGGTTCGTTTTCTGCGGGTTATCAAACTTTTGCAAGTTATTTAAAACCAGAAAATATAGATTGTAAGAATTTTGTTTTGGGAGATATAATAAGGAATTCATGATACAAGGCTTACTAATTAATCCGTAGCTGGGGGGGGGAAGAAAATATTGATTCATACTTTTTTCCCAGAGTGTGGATTAATTATAACGGACCCAACTGAAATCGAAACTCGTCTCTCCGATCAAAAAATACGAGACGTTATCCATTATATCATTCAGGCTTCCAGCAGCTGCTGGTTCCAAGTGGTCACTCATCTAGGTACTAGCCAGGCTGGACATTGCTTAACATCGGTGATCATACAGGAAAGAACATTTTAACTCTAAATATCCTCCGTAAGCCAAAAAAAAAAAAATATATATATATAGAAAAATAAAGAATGATAAAGCATAGGTGAAGTGTTCATAAAATCGGACTAGGTGTTTATCTGTCGCTTACGGTTTGGCTTCAGTTCAGGTTTGGTAAAAGATCAAATTCAGCTAGCGCCTTAAAGTAATGAGTGATTAGTGGTCTGAGCAGTGTAAAGAACGCCGCTCAAAGACAAGCGGTGTCTCTGCCTATCTATCTATCTATCTATCTATCTATCTATCTATCTATCTATCTATCTCATTCTGTAACTTCCTATCTATCTATTTATCTCGCTCTATCTAATTATGTTCTTACTTCCTTTCTTTCTTTCTTTCTTTCTTTCTATCTATCTATCTATCTAAGCTAAACCTAAAGAGCCAGACAACCTACTACGGTTTCACCTATGCGGATCGTCAGGGACTACTGGCTAGTAGTCCCTGACGATCCACTTAGGTAAAACCGTGGTAGATTGTCTGGCTCTTCAGGTTTAGCTTTAGGTGAAACCGTGGTAGGTCGTCTGGCACTTTAGGTTTAGCTTAGGTTTGCTCTACTTAGCGTATCGAGCACTTTAGTTATTTAGTTATTTTGTTTACTCGTATCGGGTTTTTTTTTCTTTGACTCTGAACTTGGATGCTAGACGATTATTTTCGGCTAACGTACATGTTCTTTGTTCTTTCTTTTTTGTATCATTTTTTCCCTTTGATATTGGTTTGTCTATTCACAAATCAAGGCACCTAAGGTTTTCCGGACGAGTATAATTTCTTATATTTATAAGATTACAACTAGTATCTATCTATCTATCTATTCATCTATCTATCTATCTATCTATCTCTCTCTCTCTCTCTCTATCTATATATATATATATATATATATATATATATATATATATATATATATATATATATATATATATATATATTTTTTATAAGCATTTCAATTTAAACAAGGCGGAAGTGTCACTAGTACTCAAGGGGGTTACAGAGAGTGAAATTAAGAGAGAAGACTGGGTAAAGGAGGGGGATTGAGGAAAGGATAAAAAGAAGAACAGGGATCAAGGCATCAGAAGATGTCGATTGACATTAGATTTAAATTTTTGGAGATTACAGTTATCAGCGAAGCAAGTAAGAGGAAGGGAGTTCCTCTGTCGGGAAGTGCGACAGAAGAAACTGCTGGAGTAGAAGAGACGGTTACATTTAACTGTTTCGACAGTAAAAGATGTCAACCTAGTAGCAAGCTTAAATTCATGCAGTCGGGGCACCAGGGAAAATAGCTCGTCAGAGCAGTTGCCATGTAAATATTTATAGAAATGACAGAGGGAAGACACATCACATCTGTTTGAAAGTGAGTAGAGTCGAGATACCAGGTCAGGGCCAATCACATTGCAGATCCGTCTTTGGATTTTGTCGGGAACCTCGAAATAAAAAGAGAGGGAACCAGACTATATATGGCAACAGTATTCCATGCATGATCTATGTAATTCTTTTTTTTTTCTTTCTTTCTTTCTTTCTTTCTTTCTTTCTTTTTTCTTTCTTTTTTCTATCTATCACAGTTTGTTCTATCTATCTATCTATCTATCTATCTATCTATCTATCTATCTATCTATCTATTTCAGTCTATTCATATCTGTCACTCTATCTCAGTCTATTCCTATCTATCTATCTATCTAATTTCCAAATCTATCTATCTATTTTAGTCTATTCGTATCTCTTTCTCTCTCTCTCTCTCTCTCTCTCTCTCTGTTTCTCTCTTTATATCTGTTTATTCATATCTAGTTATCACTCTATCTATCTATCTATCTATCTAATTTCCAAATCTATCTATCTATTTTAGTCTATTCGTATCTCTCTCTCTCTCTCTCTCTCTCTCTCTGTTTCTCTCTTTATATCTGTTTATTCATATCTATCTATCTATCTATCTATCTATCTATCTATTTCAGTCTGTTCATATCTCTCACTCTATCTCAGTCTATTCATCTATCTATCTAATTTCCAAATCTATCTATTTTAGTCTATTCGTATCTCTTCTCTCTCTCTCTCTCTCTCTCTCTGTGTGTGTGTGTGTGTGTGTGTGTGTGTTTCTCTCTTTATATCTGTTTATTCATATCTATCTATCTATCTCGTTATTTCGTTGATATCATTTTATCTATTTTGTTCATACCTTTTTAAATTATTCATACCTTACTCGTTATATCTACATCTTTTGTTTATATATCTCTATCTTTTTATTTGTCTACCAATGTTTTCAAAACTCAGTAATATATGCATGTATTTGCGTTTAGATAACCAGATAGATACGAACAGATTAAAATTGATATATAGATGGATAGAAGAGTCAAATTTTATAGCAAATTCTGACCTTTTTTCAAATATTTTTTCACGTCGAGTGTACATGCTTACATAAATTATCACTAAAGAGGAGTATTGTGTCACCGACAAAACTAATTCGTTTTACTTATATATGTTTCTAAAATTCTATAATTATATGATCTTAAAAGAAAAGATAAATGCTTGAATAGAAAAATGATGATTTTGATGAAAGAAACCCACCCTAAACATAATGGGTCGCTTAGGTCGCTATTTTTGGTGGTCGCATTAATGATGCAGCCGACCCACCTGGCAGGCGTCTCCAGGTAAAAAAAAACTCTCCGACTTCTCCCCTGACCTGTTTGTTTCTGTTGTTAGCCTTGCTTTATACATAATGGCCGCATCTTTCCCTTCTAGATACCGTTTGCCAACACGGGAATCTCGATAAAATTTAGAAGGTTAGTGATTTCGCTTAGAATAAGAAAGAACATTTTTTGTAGCTCCTTCTTTCGTCTTCCTTAACCTATCTTTCCACATCTCTCTTTTATGTCATATGTTTCTCTGTCTCTCTTAAATCTCAAAACTCTCTCTCAACCATTTACCCAAAAGAATCTCTAGTTACATATACATATTTTAAGATTGATTCCCATTTCTTTCTCTCTCTCTCAAAGCAATATCAAGTTTCTAAAAATTAACACATGTACACATGCAACAACACACAAATCCCTTTCTCTTCATGCTATCTCCCTCTCTCTCTCTCTCTCTTTATTTCTCCTCTCTGTCTCTCCCTCTCTCTCTCTCTCCCTCCCTCTCTCTCTCCCTCTCTCTCTCCCTCTCTCTCTCCTCTCTCTCTCTCTTTCTCTCTCTCTCTCCCTCTCTCTCTCTCTCTCTCTCTCCTCTCTCTCTCTCTCTTTCTCTCCCTCTCTATTCCCCAATCTCTCTCCCTCATCTCTCTCCCTCTCTCTCCCCTTCTCCCTCTTTGCCTCTTATCCCTTTCTCTCATTCTATATATATATATTGTTATATGAATCGGAAAAATACAGACATTATTCAGTATCATTGACTGTAAATATTCACTTCTTCGTAATTCTTCTATTTCTCACTCATACTCTCACTTAAATTCTATTTCTTTATTCATTTATCTCTCCTGCCCTCTCTCTCTCTCTCTCTCTCTCTCTCTCTCTCTATCTATCTATCTATCTATCTATCTATCGATCGATCAAATCCCTCTATCTCCCTGGCTGTCAGTCTGATTGCTTAGTAATTCTTTTTTTCTCTACCTCTAACACTTACTTTATTCATCTATTTCTCTGTCTGTCTATCTTTGTATTTACTAAATCGGGATAGTGTGACACGAGGCCAGAAGTATGAAATATCCTCTTAAGATTGGACTCACTACTAAAACAATGGTCTACGAGGCTGATTTGCTAGTTTATTCTCCTTACCAATATTTCCCTCTCATATATATATATATATATATATATATATATATATCACTTTAAACTATACCCTTTTGAAACAATATAAATAACAGATTAAAAATAAATCCATGAATTCTCTCTCACTATATATATATATATATATATATATATATATATATATATATATATATGTGTGTGTGTGTGTATATTTCAAACTATAATAACGTTTAAAGGCATATAAATGCCAGGGTAAAAATAAATCCATGAATTCTTTATATATCTACATTTTTCTAACCTAGCATAAATTTCAAAGGCTGAAAATATGGTGCACCCAGTGTGGTTCGAACTCACCATTAAGTTGTAATTAATCTAGCGTTAAAAACTTGCTAATCATTACACCACATCGAAGTGCCCATTTTATGTGACACAAGGCTGAAAGTGTGACGCACCCAATAAGGTTCGAACTCATTACACATTACCATGACACCATATCAAAGTGCCCACCTCTTCTTGTATATATTCAGAGTGAGTGTCTCAACTGTATGCGAAAATGTAAAAAAAAAAATAAAAAATATGTAATAATTGTTTGGCGTAAAAACTAGAGTATGGTTCATATTTGTAAAAATTGTATTTATTTTTCATTATTTGTTTCACGGACAAACGCACTTATTGCATTAATCGTTCATCGTAATAAGCCTGCTTACAGTTTCGGTATGAGGAATACAGATTTAACTAAAAAGAGAAAGTTATTTATTAATGCGAAAACGTATAAAAAGTGGTCTAATTTCCGAGTTTAACACCATAACGTTGTATTGGGGGATCGTACCACTGCTATTACAATGTCGAATATTTAAATAAAACAGCGATAAAAACAAAAATAGAAATGACAGAGAGTTGAATGAGGACGCATAGAACACCAGGAATCTCTTATCTTTAAAAGGCAGGATGTGTGTGTGTGTGTGTGTGTGTGTGTGTGTGTGTGTGTGTGTGTGTGTGTGTGTGTGACGAATGCACGGCCGCAATTTTCGACAGATTTGCACCAAAATTTACATGCACATGCTCCAAGTTAGCGGTAAGGCCAAAACCGACTTTGCATTTTCCAACTCCCATCGACAGTGGAAATAATCGATTTTTTCATGCTTCTACGGCAGTTTTCATGTAGTTTGCGGCTATTTTGTACTGGCCAGAGTTAGAGCCTATAGCTGGCTGCCACGAATAGGCAGGAAGATTCTATTGGCCAGCGTGAGAGCCAACAGCTGACTGACACGAATTTTAACTAGCATGCAAAAAAAAAGGATAGCTGCATTCGTCAAAATTAAGTGGGAAAAATTTAAATCTGCATGGCACTTTACTCAATTGGCTCATTCGCTTGCTTAAACTCAACGTTGATTCTGATTCCGCAGAACTGGGTTGGGTGTGAAAAAATATTTGTTTTAACATTCTTTTTTCATTCAGTTTTTCCAGTTACGAGTCCTTTTTAAAGCTGATCGTTTTTGTGTTCATTTTGTTTAGTTATTTTTTTTTAACAGATTTAATGTTTAGTATAGAGCTTAGAAAAAATTCGCAGTGTGAGATAGGCAAGAAGTAAGGCATGTAGCAACATCAGAGCAAAAAATTGCTCCTTTAAAATACAGGAAGGGCAAAATATTTTTAAGTCAAGTGATAGCGATTGCTGTATGAGTCGTACGATTTTTGAATCAAGCACAGGCAACGCCGGGCCATGCTGCTAGTTTGAAATAAAATCTAAATTTAAATATAAGCATCTCTTCATCTTCAACCTTTCTATTGATGTTTATTTATAACATGTTAATGTTTGTTCACGCGCCACATATATATTGTAAATTTAATGGCAATATTAGCCGTTTCCTTATAAGGAAACATTTGGTATCCATTGTTAATACTATCGGTCGAAATTTATAAAATCTTTCTCTTAAAATAATTTTTCAGAAAAACAGACTTCTCAAGTATTTTTTTATGTCAGCCAACAGTCGTTGCCACTTTCGTAATGTTCATTGAATTAATCGCAGATACAACTATAGTAACGCCATAGAACGATACTGGCGTCAGACACCTTCGAATATTAATAATAATCATATTTATATAATATTTATATAGATAATCAGTCATTAGTTATACCATAAAATAGAACCCATATTTGATATACGCTTAAGGGATCATTCATGTTTCGATACATTATAACGAATGAAAAACATTCGAGGTATTCTATATTTACTAAAATTCCAGGTATAGATCGACTAGTTTAGTTCTGCTATTTACCCATAGCAGGAAAATAGAAAAATAGTGATTCATGCCTTTCCCCGTATAGTAATTAGAAATAGTTAATGTAATAGATTTAGAATCCGTATAGCTCTCCGATAGAAATAGAAATTGATCCGAATAGTATTATTCCAATAGATTAGCGATCGATAATAACACGATCGAATAGTAATAGCGGTCCGTATAGAATACAGGATAGACTCAAATAGCGGTCCGCATAGAATCTTTTGTAATAGTAAGGATAGAGAAATAGCGGTCCGTATAGTAATAGAGGATAGACTAGAAATAGATCCGTATAGTTATACAGGATAGACTAGAAATAGCGATCCGTATAGTAATACAGGATAGACTAGAAATAGGATAGTCCGTATAGTAATACAGGATAGACTAGAAATAGCGATTCCGTCTAGGATAATAGAATTTCCGTATAGATTACAGACTAGAAATGAATAGTCTAGTAATACAGGATAGACTAGAAATAGCGGTCCGTATAGTAATAGAGGATAGACTAGAAATAGGCGTATAGTAATAGAGGATAGACTAGAAATAGCGGTCCGTATAGTAATAGAGGATAGAAATAGAAATATCTATAGACAGATCGTATAGTAATACAGGATAGACTAGAAATAGTGATCCGTATAGTAATACAGGATAGACTAGAAATAGCGGTCCGTATAGTAATACAGGATAGACTAGAAATAGATCCCGTATATCCGTATAGTAAACTAATATAGACTATCTAAATAGAATATCCGTATAGTATAGGATAAATAGATATCCGTAGACTAGAAAAATAGTTATCCGTATAGTAATAGAGGATAGACTAGAAATGTTCTCCGTATCATATATATAATAGAGGATAGACTAGAAATAGCGATCCGTATAGTAATACAGGATAGACTAGAAATAGCGGTCCGTATAGTAATACAGGATAGACTAGAATAGCGGTCCCAAAATAGATAGAATAGGATAGAAATAGTGTTTCGGTCCGTAATAGAATAGAGGATAGACTAGAAATAAAGATCCGTATAGTAATACAGGATAGACTAAAATAGCGGTCCGTATAGTAATACAGGATAGACTAGAAATAGCGGTCCGTATAGTAATACAGGATAGACTAGAAATAGCGATCCGTATAGTAATACAGGATAGACTAGAAATAGCGGTCCGTATAGTAATAGAGGATAGAAATAGATAGTATTAGCGGATGAATATAGTAATAGAGGATAGATAGAAATAGCGGTCCGTATAGTAATAGAGGATTTACTAGAAATAATTGGTCCGAATTCAAATAGAAGGATAGAAAAGAAATAGCGGTCCGTATAGTAATAGAAATAGACTAGAAATAGCATCCGTACAGGATATCTAAATTAGTATAGTATAGAGGATAGAAGAAATAAATATGGTCCGTATAGTAATACAGGATAGATATAGAAATAGCGATCCGTATAGTAATAGAGGATAGACTTGAAATAGCGGTCCGTATAGTAATAGAGGATAGAATTTTCTTAGCGGTCCGTATAGTAATAGAGGATAGACTAGAAATAGCGGTCCGTATAGTAAATACATTATAGACTAGAAATAGCGATCCGTATAGTAATAGAGGATAGACTAGAAATATCCGTATAGTAATACAGGATAGACTAGAAATTGATCCGTATAGTAATACAGGATAGACTAGAAATAGCGATCCGTATAGTAATACAGGATAGACTAGAAATAGTGATCCGTATAGTAATAGAGGATAGACTAGAAATAGTAATAGTAATACAGGATAGACTAGAAATATGCGGTCCGTATAGTAATAGAGGATAGACTAGAAATAGCGATCCGTATAGTAATAGAGGATAGACTAAAAAAGCGATCCGTATAGTAATACAGGATAGACTAGAAATAGCGATCCGTATAGTAATAGAGGATAGATATAATAAATATAGCGACGTAGTAATAATAGAGGATAGACTAGAAATAGCGATCCGTATAGTAATAGAGGATAGACTAGAAATAGCGATCCGTATAGTAATAGAGGATAGACTAGAAATAGCGGTCCGTATAGTAATAGGGATAGACTAGAAATAGCGATCCGTATAGTAATACAGGATAGACTAAAAATACAGCGATCCGAATAGTAATAATAGGATAGACTAGAAATAGCGATCCGTATAGTAATAGAGGATAGACTAGAAATAAATAATCCTTTTAGTAAAATAGCGATCCGTATAGATAGGATAGACTAGAAATAGCGGTCCGTATAGTAATAAAGGATAGACTAGAAATAAAGGATCCGTATAGTAATAGAGGATAGAAAATAGAAATAGCGATCCGTATAGTAAAATAGAGGATAGACTAGAAATAGCGGTCCGTATAGTAATAGAGGATAGAATAGAAATAGCGATCCGTATAGTAACAGAAATATAGAATAGAAATAGCGATCCGTATAGCAATAGAGGATAGACTAGAACTGAATAAATTCCGTATAGTAATAAAGGATAGAATAGAAATATCGGTCCGTATAGAAATAGTTTTCCGATAGTAATATAGACTAGAAATAGCGG